ATTATCTTTACTATGTAGGCCCGTAATATGTTAAAACCTTGATTGGATATTTACAGGGACAAACCTCTTGGGCTGCCTATAAATGGAGCCTAAATCGGTGGTCCTCAAACTTACCCCTCATCTACTTTACATCCTTAGTTAAAACCTTGATTGGATATTTACAGGGCCTTACCTCTTGGGTTGCTTATAAATGGAGCCTAAATAGGTGGTCCCCAAGCTAAATCCTCACCCCTAGATACAACCCTAACTGAATATTTACGGGGCACATTCTCTTGGGTTATCTATAGAGCCTAGATCGGCGGTCCTCAAGCTATCCCATGGTCCACTTAACATCCCTAGATAAAGTCCTTATTGGATATTTACAGGTCCAAGCCTCTTGGATTATCTATGAATAGAGCCTTAATCAACAGTTCTCAAACTTACTCCTCGTCTACTTTACACAGCCCAAATACGATATTTACAAGAATAAAATTGAGAATGGAAACGGGGAATGCGTCAAAGAGACTGGGAATGCGTCAATGCTTATTAATTACCTTTTGTCTTGACAAACAATAACCTGAACATATTAAAGCATGCGTCCTTTATATTTAATTTGGTACCCTATCTGACAAATGTTTCCTTCCTCAGTTACATGTATAACAAATAGGCTAAGTCGTTTGCGGAGAACCAAAAAATAGGCACTTAAATAATTTAATATTGGACTCCTTACATGCATCACACAGCTGTAGTTATGATAGTTCAAGAAAATATTTCTACTTTGATATGATCGACATATGGCTGAGAGATGTGCACTAAATTATCTACTCTTCGTCAATTTAGATATTTAACAGATATAACATAATGTGGATGTAGTTTGATGATCATTTCTAGAAAAGAAAAATCCTTTTCAATCTGATGATGACAACATACAATTCAAAGGAGATGTAGATTTTTATCTATTTCAGCACTGGGATAGGAAGAATTTATTCTACTAATACATATAGTATGTCCACTTTAAGCTAGACAGCATCATTTATCATGTATCTGCACATTTTGTTAAATTTATAATACCGGTATGATTCCATCTAGCTGTTGAAAATGTCGAAGCGAAGTATTTGAACTATACGACCTTCCATTTACTACCACCTAAGAGGTACTTTCCGTTTAATTAACTTTACAAATCAAACATTAATGTATTTTCCATTTTCTGTGACTTAATCTGTTAGTTTATCTACTGATATACATCGTCTGTTGATAGACAAAGATATCAGTGGTTAACAACCAACTTTTAAGTGGTTTATGTTAAAAATATACAATAAAAACTACCCATAGAGAATAGAATGAGTTAGTGTAGTACCAGTTCATATAATACCTGTATAATATGTCTCTGGTAGTACGAAAGTTTGACCAGGGTCCGGCAAAAGTAAATGGAAAATGGTAACGTAAATATCAATTTCTTATCATTACGGGATGCCTCTATTTAAGTTTACCAGTGGCATTCCAAATTTCCCTCCCGTTATCTCGGTCTACGCAATTTTCAGAACCTGCTGATTTAATTTTTGTCAATTTGTTTTCAAATGAAGTAAACCGCAACTTGGTGATATTTTCTCTCAGGGTCATATTGTAACAAATCATTTTTCGATACATACATTATCTTTTCTAATTCTCCTTCTCAACTCTAAACTCTAACAAAGAATGTTTGTATTCACCCCTTGTTCACAAATTAACCTTAGACAAGTTTGAGAGGGGTTAACAGCCAAGTCGTATTGTCTGTAACTTTGTATGATAATTCACGAATAATCTATATTTAGCATACGTATTTATATCCCACATTTACAGAAATATTTACCACTTTTATTTATGATCAGTTAAGCATAGGAGGATTCACTCACTGTGGATATTTCTATGTTTTAACACTTTGTTACTCGAACTATCTTACAGGATATCTATGGGTTAAGCAAAATTAATTTAAACGCTTGGTCAATAACCGTCACTCTTCACGGAACAGTCACATTGATTCAGACGTAAGAAAATAGCGGGTTCAAATGTTTGTGTAGTAAAAACACGCATTATATAGGCTGTAACTTGACATGTACATGTGTTTAACAGATCTACCTATCAATCATTCAGACACATTCGTTTGTCTGTTGACACTTCTATAGGTAAGAGTTTTCATCAAATGTGCAATTACTGCATGTAATGTATCGTGTCTGATTACCATTTATTGTGGTATATTCATAACGAATTATTTATTTGTATCTTTATAGATATGTTGTTTCTGCATTTCGTTCAAACATTGGAAATATATCCATCATCTGTCGACTTCTTTTTAATAACTTTGTTGCAAAAAGTAAAACTCTGACGGGTTAAAATGCAAACATAACAGACATGTACACAAGAAACATACAATACACGAAAAAAGTTCTGAACAAGTCAAGTTAATGAAATGTAAACATATGTAAATATAAATTGTCTTTTATTTGATCAAAGTAATCATTTGATGAATATATAACTTTAGTGAGATATATGACTAATTCCTTTTCCCCAGTTTCGGCTCAGTACTGTATATCCACTTTATGTATCTAACGATAAGATCCAGTTGTCGAAAATGAATTTAAGACCAATCATATCAAGATACATCTAACGATAAGATCCAGTTGTCGAAAATGAATTTAAGACCAATCATATCAAGATACATCTAACGATAAGATCCAGTTGTCGAAAATGAATTTAAGACCAATCATATCAAGATACATAAACCAGTGAGTACTTGTGTTATTTTTATTTTACTTATTGTTAAAACATTAACTGTACAATACAAAGTGTGACATAGTATACTACATTATGATTGCATATTCATCAGTTAAATAAATATTATATATGCGTAACTCTGCAGCTACAACAATGTCATAAATATATATAATATCTATTAAGTGTAAAGGTAGTTTATTTGATTAGTTCAAATATATTTATAAGGTTCGTTATAGAACGAATTTTTCAACGAGGTTCAACAATCTTCTCCATTAATTACATTCACCATCAAACAAAAACATTTATCTTTTTCTCGCATTACATAATTTCTACAGACTTTCTACATACATTCTTTCATGTCTACAGAAGACTAAATCGTGGTCGTAAATCAATATACTATAACCCGTAATTCCGAACTTTGACAAGTCTGACTTAAACAGCAAACACTTGTTTCTGCTTAGTAATGATTGCATTTGTCTGCGTTTAAGAATGTAAGGTACCGAAAGGGGGGGGGGGGAGAGCGAATGTGGACTTTAAACCTGGTTTGGGACCAACAGATTGTTCACTGATGCCCAAAAAGTTATTACATACAATGCTGTTATCTCCATAATCGTATTTTTGGAAGTATTTGAAACGTACCTAAGAATATACTGTGGGGTATAGAACTATGATTATCCCTTTGACTTCCTTCGTCCAGTAAAACCCAGGCTAAAGTGGGGCTTCCGTTTGGCTGTATATCTTCATTCTCATACAAACAAATGCAGTAGATCGTTACAGAGAATAGCGATTGCATATACAGTAAAGAAATATAAATACTTTGATGAGAAAGGCAAAATTAAAAAATATTACATCTGATATAACAAAGCTTAGCTAGGAGGACAAACAAACTTATCTACACATTTGATATACATACAAAGTTTTCTCAGAATCAATTTACGCTAACAAGACACCATTTCTAAAAAAAAATAATCGTTGTGTTTGTAAGTACAAAAAAATCAATATAGTTCCTTTGTTCTTGTGAACGAGCCATCCATTCAAAGTGGTACTAGTTATCAACGTGTCTTCGAAATCAAGGATGATGAAATATTCTTCAATTTTTAAATTCGTTTTAAAGATCTTATAATTTGCTGTTTTTGGAGATTTCAATGATCGGGATACCATTTCTTGGAGGTCTGCTCTAAAAGCTCAGATACACGTCAACAAAAAATGTGCCAAACATTGAAAGATACCAATATTTCAGGAAGTAAAATGTCACAAAGAGAGGGTTAAAAATTGTAAAATATCACAATCTCAGGCACAACCCAACAAATAATGCGCTAAAAATTGAAAGATATCATCATATCGTTTTACCGGAGATGAGAGAGAATTAAAATAATATCCAGTCTTTGGAAGTAATAACGTCTGCCAACTTTTGTACAAGGAAAAGGTATACAAATAAATGTTTGCTTTTTTTTATACAAGTACAAATATAGTCTTTTGTTTCCCTGCTTCTATCTTGAACGAGGGGTAATGTTGACATTACCGTTTACGTAACAGTATCGATTAGTGTAGAGTAGTATGCGGATCGGAGCTGGAACTGCCGGGGAGTTTGCCGGTCCGCGACCCGCGTTTACATAATGATCCATGTCGATTTTTACTGGGAATGTTACAATTAGTCTAACTTAATACATTACTCCTATGTGTTTATGAAACATTCATACAACTGGAATTTTAACAGTAAACGTAAAAGAATCACGGTTAAATTGCAAGATACAAGTTATTCATTTTTGTACGATGTTGGGAAAAATAAAGTTGTACTGGCTATGAAACTCGGCGAGGCTCGCTATTGCAATGTATCTAAATCTCGTAATTTTCCGACAATGTACATAATATATATGCACAGAGTATTCATTGCATATAATTTCACTTCTATCGTATATATTGTTATTTGAACGACCCTGACATGTTCTTTATTCTGCCCGGATTCTTCATAGTCCTATGTGAATGAATTAATACTTTCCGACGCCGTATGTTTGTAAACAGTTATATTGAAGTCTTCATATAAAAATATATATTAAATATATTATTCTCACACTTCGTGCAAGTTAAACACTGATCCTTTCATTCATGAAGTACAATTCAGACGAAACGAAAACAAAGTGGATTTGTTTTTACTTAAAAATTCTTAAAATATAATGATCTTTTATATAGGCTGCTGTACAATAAATCACCCTAGTTTGGTGGATTATTTTTCATAATAGCAGTGTATCACATGATTTATATATCTCCTATATTGATACTTGCGACCGGTACAACCCTTATTTCAATGACATATATTGAGATAACGGCAGTTAAAGACAGGTCACCATCTGTCGCTACAAGTAGGGGAAATAACTTATGCAAATAGTTTTAACTGGACTACAAGTACTTTGTAAATAGTAAAATTTAATGTCGATATGCAGGTTCATAAATCTCTCATATAGTGTGTAAATATGTTTTCTGGTTCAGTGGAGATGATAGTTGGTGCAGCTGCAACATACCTACTGATTTGTAACACTCGGATATATCTCTTGTTTGTTATAATTGGTGAACTCTGATAAGTACTGTGTTTTCGTGAAATTAATTTGTTCCCGGGCGGATACCGATAAACATATGGATGTTAAGTCTTAACACATCACCATGTTAAAAAACTGTCATGAGAAATAACTAGCAGGTAAAGTTTTATCAATATATTTTTTTTATGTATTACATATTATAAATATGTTTATTTCTTTAACATTGGAGCATCTTTTCGAAAGGCAATCACTATAACCAGCTAAAATTTATAATAGACAAGCAATAATGTTTCAAAATATTATCTGTATAATCATGGAACTGTTATTTATTATTAGTTTAGACTTCATGTACATGTATATGCATAACATGGCAGAATAATTAGACGATTGATTGCGGTCGTTAACAGGAAGAAGATTTTTATAAACTGACATCTTTATGAAATCACTAAGATTTTAATTTTCAAAATTATTAAAGTTTTTCTTTATTTTCTTTGATCTCCGTTTTATTAAAATTATATCAATTGATTGTTGCTTGGTTAACGTCAAGTGAGATGGTGTATATATGCTTATTATGACAAGGAAATTTAAATTTACTTATGATTTACTACCTCGTATAATTGTTCAATTAACCTCCACGGCCTATTCATATTTCGATCATAAATCCTGTATAAATATTATTTTACTATCTGATCAAATATGAAGTGATATTTTGGACCTATAGATACACATGTGAGCGATATCACCTGCAATTATTTTGTATGTATGTACTGCCTAGGGTACAATCATTTAAATTCAATTAAAGGTCATCATTGATAAAACATACTTACTGTGTAGCCCCACCAATCGTATATGAAATAACTTTGAATACATCAATTAAAATTGTATATTTTAAAAGATAAAAACAGACATTGAGTAATTAATCAACAACGTCTTTGTGTATGTTTGTTATTAGTTATTCTATGTAGAACAATGTACACAATATATTATGCGACCTGTTGCACAAAGTAGGTGTAAATTTAATCGTTTATGGTGTGTTAGTGCATGCAGAGACATAATTTATATATACATATGTGTATATGTCTCTGGTGCATGCAATCATTTGTCAGTATTTACGTTTCTTTGTATATTTCTTATTTGGTTTATTTTTAAGGCTTCTTGGTGAAAATCTTTTAATCCAGGAATAATTTTCAAATTTGCAACGTAATAGAAAATGTTTGATACACAATTTTGACCTCCCATGGTTTTACATTAGACTTTAGAGTTTAACATTCGCCTGAAAAACTGACCGCCATGATATAGTTACGGTCGTCCAAGTGGCGTTTAACACCAACTAACTAAAAATCCGTTTGACTCTTTTGTTGACCTGTCGTTTTTCAATTCCTCCTTGGTGTCATCTTATTTGTACCTGCTTAAGTTGATAGATGAACCTGTTCATAACTTTGTCGAATATATTGTACGATTTTTGTAATCAGAATAGTAATGTGTATATGCTTTGCATGCTCTCTCAACATATGTACCTCTGAATTGTTATATTATATCTATGTTCTTCTATATATATATACGATTGTTACTAGATGTTGACTTGAAAAGAAAGTTTAATGCTGCAGCTTCGGTGTATATATTCGTGTTTAACTTTTAGTGAACGCTTAGGTTTATATATTTAATGGCTTTTGCTGGAGAGTTGGCATACGAAAATACTTTGAAGGAGTAGATGTACAAAGGACTTAAATTGGCCCTAATTATAAGATTTTGATGTTTATTAAATCCGGCTAAATTACTACAAATTTCACATAGATTTAGTTGTGATATTACTATTAATACAAAAAAGTTCTTTTTGGCACCTCACATTATATGTTGTAACGTAAGTTTTTGTCCATTTTTGTCCATAATTTATGACAGTTTTAAGCATAATTAGCTTTGGCCGCCATCCCTGATCCAGAGAGATTTTATTTCTGGGGATTCAATATTAACCTTTGCTGCATCATTTTGTTACAGACCATTTTGGATCCTAGGTTGCGACTAAAGTTTTCTTAAAGCTTTTAGGTCCGAAAAATATAACAAAAAAAAAAACAACATGATAATTAGTGCAATTTGAAAATTCCTGGACAAGATGGTTAGATATTATATATGGATCGAAGCAAGGCCAATGCCTATCTATTAAGTATACACCAAAAGGTGTATATAGTATTTTACCTTAAATAACCCATACTACACTTTTGACTAATCAAATTCCTATCAGTGGGTGTATCCACTCGACGTTTATAAACCGTCCCAGTACAAAAGACACGGTATAAATCACTTAAATTATAAATAAAGATTTTTCGTCAGCACAGTCATGCGTCAAAGATTGAAACTAAATCTGTTTATTAAGCCTTTCCTTTTAAAATTTGATTTAAATTGAAGACGCGCTATAATAATATTTATTTACTTTGTGGAAAGCACGGTTATAAAGGGAATACTGATGAGTGAAAATCCGGTAAGGTTACCTTCAAATTATATCAGTTGATCAACATTTAAAAAACTTTATGTACTCTATTGTATATATAATTCATTTTTGAAATTGATACACATTCCTATATTTTTAAAATATTCAAGTTTTTGATTATGTTTAAATATTTTTTTATTAATCACCATATTATTACGAAAAATAAACTCTAGGTATGCATCCGCCATCTTTCAACATTTTTTTTATATTTCTAAATATAGCCATTAATTAGATATATTTAACACCAAGAGTGGAATGTTGTATAGAAATATGGTTATCTGTACTTTTGCCATCCGGAAGTAAAACCCTTGCTAAAGAGGAGCGTGCCTGCGTTTTATGCATGCGGGATGTATAAATACGCAGTCACGACCGGTCGGAATGGGACGTTTAATCCCCGCGTAGGGAGAGTGCAACTCTTCATTTATGTGTTAATGTTAAAAGAACCCTTGAAACAACTCTTTGGGGAGTCTATAAAGATGGCATGTTGGTCTGTATCAAATATACCCTCTTTCCCCAGAGACTAAATTGTTGATTCTTAATTGACTCATTACTGATAATCAAGATTTTGTAATTTTGACTCGTTGTTGACACCAAAGAAGCCAGTTTTTTAACACTTTGTTGGCTTAAAAAATACCGATAATTTGACTTATCATTGATACTAGGGGTCGATGCCGGTAATTTGGCTCATCACTAAGACTATAGGAATGGCGGTAATTTGGCTCATCACTAATACTATAGGGATGTCGGTAATTTGGCTCATCACTAATACTATAGTCGGTAATTTGGCTCATCACTAATACTATAGGGATGTCGGTAATTTGGCTCATCACTAATACTATAGGGATGTCGGTAATTTGGCTCATCACTAATACTATAGGGATGTCGGTAATTTGGCTCATAGTTAATACTACAAGGATTTCGGTAATTTGCCAAAAGGAAGACGATATTAAGGGCCAATGAAAAGACATCCGTTGGAAGAGAGACAGACGACATTGTACATGGATAAAAAAAAATTCAAATAGTTCATAAAACACAGAAAAACTAAATATTGTGCAATAAGATTGAGGTCAACCACCAAAAACTGCTGTTGAACGAAAGTGCCCGGAAGGTAAACAGTTCTTGGTCCATCAGTGGAACCTTTCTTGTTTTTCATGATAGACAAAAACCCAATGATAAGTCGTATTCGCTATGAAAACAAAGAAAAAATTATTGACTTTACTTTATTTGTTTAATCTTAACGCTCAGTGGCAAATATCTGATGCATAGTCAGGACGAGCCGGAGAGTAAATGAACAACAAATCTAATTTTTGGGATAAAAAAAATGGATCGCCAGGGCGTGAGGTCGGGAAAATACGACTGTCACTAGTAAATCGACAGGGGTAGACTTATTGTTGATGATAATGATTCAAGTAAATTAATTCATTGATACTTAAGATGGTGGTTATTTGACTCGTTTTGATAATTTTTATAACTATTGATAAGCAGAACGTCGATAAGAGTTGTTGTCTTTTGATTATGGTTCATTATGTCCGCCAAATTGTTGTCTTTAGATTATGGTTCATTATGTCCGCCAAATTGTTGTCTTTTTGATTAAACGTTTTTTAAATCGTAAATACGCATCAATAAGAAAATAAGATAGTTTGGAAAGACTTCAATTTGGTTGACGGAATGACGGAAAAAAACAAGCTACGCAGCTAAAAAAAAACGGGGGGGGGGGGGGGGGGGGGGGGGGGAGGGAGGGGGGGTAGTCAAATGGAATTCTTGCTGATCATTTTATGTTTTGCGTCTATTTAAAATGATCGCGTGAATTTTTGTTTTTGCTGTACGAGACTGACGTGATTTTTTTTTTTGCTGTACGAGACTGACGTGAATATATACTATAGCAGATGAACATATCACATACAGGATATACATGTACAAATATAATATTTTAAAAGAATAAACTTCATAAAAACACCGGAAATTAACTAAAGCTTTTAAAGAAGACAAAAGACAACAGGAGAAAAGAAATGAACAAATATTTTGAATAATAGCAGCACAAAAATCTTACTTTTTTTCTGAAGAAGGTCTTGGTATTATATCGATTTATAATGATTTATTGAATATGGTTGTTAAAGAGACAACAGTAAAAAAGAAGTGAACAAAATAATTTGAAAAATAATACCACAAAAAAAAAATCACTTAAGAAGACCTTGGTATTATATAATGATCTGTTACCTGCCATGATATTTTAATAACAGTTGTTGAGAATATTATGTTCTTTTCAACTTCTAATGTTGCGTAAAATTGCAGATTACACGGATAGGTAACTGTAAAAAGATTGTTTAATCTAAATTTCTGTAGGAGTAGTCGCACAATGTTTCTTTGTTGTTTAAAAAAATAAATCTTCCTGATGAAATAATTTCACGAACAGACAAGAGACCCACACACACCGAGAGAGAGAGAGAGAGAGAGAGAGAGAGAGAGAGAGAGAGAGAGAGCAACATACTCCCCTCCCCCTACACACACACAGATATTTTTTTGTTATTACAATCCTTTTGATAAACTTCGCATCTTGGTATTACTTCACTATTTTTGCCTTCATTTGATTTGTTGTTTATTACAACCAAAACAATGCACCATCTTCGTTTTTGATCTCGTTTTTGTCTTACCTGCGTCAACAATTTACAGATT